ATTACAGGCTGAGCCATGGAGTCCGGCCTGGCTTCTTTTTCTATTGTGGAAAGTTACAAATGCACAGAAGTAGAGAGGCTAATGTGATGGGTACCACACCCCACCCTGGCATCCTGTGCTGAGTCACCATCTAGAAGTAGAGCCATTCCATCCAAAAAGCTCAGTGTATGTGTTGCTCTGTGGTGTCACTTCTTTAAAAAACATGCCCACTCTACGTGGTGCTTTTTTGGTTGTACGAAATGTTTCACTCTCACAAAGTCACACTAGTGCATCTTTCCTTGGTGCTTCAGAGAGAATGGCCATCCCCAGCCCAGGTGCCCCAAGCCCAGCACTGCCTGTGAGGGACTATGACCCTGGCCTTGGCACAGATGGACGTAGACTCATTCTGCCTTGTGAGCCCTACACCCAGGCCTCTGCTCCAGCTCTGTCCCCAGAGTGGGCACATTGCCTGTGTGCCTGGACAGAAGCTATCCCTGAGGCTCTGGGCACTATCTGACAACAGCTGAGGCAGCAGGGTAAAGATGAGGCCCCCACAAGTCCTGTCTGGCAGGTGGGGAGCAAGACAGTGCTGGCAACTCCCATAGTGGCCTCCCAGTGGGAAGTGGTCTTTGGCATCCCTGGACCTGGGCTCGACTCCTGTTGGACCACTTCCTGGCACCGTCTTCTCCTCATGGGGATGGGCAGAGTATACAGAGGGTTTGGGAGGAGTCTCAATGGTCATCAGCCCCTCTCCTCCCTCATGGGGGGCCAGTGTAGCCCTGGCCATGCTCTGGTAGACAGCTGGCCAGGGATCAGGACAGGAGCCAGCCCCACCCCCACCTCCTCCTGCTGGTCTGACCTTTAGGAAATTCTTCTAATTCCTTATCCAAGATTGGACTCAGGCCCCATAATTTGATTTTCCGGAGCAGGGCTTTGGCAGGACAACTTCTGAGGAGGAATGTCTGGGTTGCCTAGAAGACGTCAAGTGTCAATTTGGGTTTCAGGGGGAGATTTTGTTTCTCCCGTCAGGTTCCGGTGACCATGCCTTCACTTTCTTGACAGAGTAAGCACTGACCAAGCTTTGCCCCACAGGATGTGGGGACACGGCTTCCTCTTCAAATGGGTTCCATCTCCCATCTCCCACACTGTCCACCCACTCATCCATGCATGTATTCGTGTGTCCCATTCTCATTTCTCCTCCATCTACTCCTCCAACTGCCCAGCCTCTGACATCACTTCTGTCCACAGCCTACCCATGTTCCACCTTCCTTTTTATCCATCCACTGCCAACCCATTATCCACTTACCTACTATCTCACTAATCAACATTCACTCACCCTCCCATTACTTCTAATCCTCTTATTTGACTGTCTACTCACCCTCCTGTCCACACCCTGCTCACCCACTCATCAGCTGGCCTCTAATCCCCCCATCTCCCCATTCAGTCGTCCACCATCTATCTGCCTCCACAGTTCATCTGTAAATCCATCCAGTGACCCTTCTAGCAAGACACCTTTCTGTCATTCCATCTCTCCATCTACCCATCTCTCATCCATTTGCCACGGACCCACCATTACCCCCTGCCCACCCATCCATTTACCATCTTTCTGTTCACCCCCTCACCCCCACCCATCCTTTCACAATCTGTTCACCCCACCATCCACCCCTTACCTACTCATGCACTCACTATCTGTCCATCCCACCATCCACCCCCTACCAACCCATCCACTTACCATCTTTCTGTCTATCCCATCATCCACCCACCTACTCATCCATTCATCATCTGTCTATCCCACCATCCACCCCCACACCCATCCACTTACCATCTATCTGTCCACCCACCTACTTACCAATCCCTCTATTCACCATCTATCAGTCTATCTCACCATCCATCCCCATTCACCCATCCATGCACCATCTTCTGTTTATCCCCCCACCCCCCCACCCACCCATGTATTCACTGTCTATCTGTCTTTGTGTCTCCCACCATCCTGCCTTTATTACTGTTTCTACAGTCTCTCTCTGAAGGTCTTTGCTACCACCTTCTTGCCCATCTTTTTTTTTTTAGCATCAGGGAGATTTTCATCCTGATCCTGGGTCACTATGGATACGTAGCCAGTGTTTATTTTTGCTGTGTGTGCGGGCTATCACTTTTGTGTGTCAGTTAACTTTTTCAGGGATTATTCCATCTCAGACTTTTCCAACCCTTTCCCAGTTCCTGATGTTTTCTGGCCTGGACATGGTGTCTTATGTCCTGGGGACTGGTCACTCCTGAGCTGCCCCTGTCATTACCATCTTATTGCTGAATCAACTTGGTGAGCAGGCACCTTTGACACAATTTGGCCTCCTCTGAGTTGGGTGTGGAGTTGAGTGCTGCCTTCTGGGTGGGGTGTGAGGGGACTACCCAACAGGCAGTGCTGGGCCCTTCCCAGGTCAGTGGAGGCTGTGATGTCATTGGCCAGAGAAAAGAGCCAGGGTCCCCACAGCATCCTCCCTGCCTGCTCTGTGGCTCTCCTGGGCCCCAGCAAAAGCCCATCCAGTGTCCACCCCACTCAGCATCAGCTGCTCTGCCCCAAGCCCCTGCTTAATCTTAAAAATTCATGCACATTTGCCTTCCATTACACCACATGTTTATTGTTTTAATATACAAATTATGCCTTGAGTCACCATCTGCAAAGCTGCCCTCTGTGGTTCTAGGCTGGGTCACCTGTGTCCACGTGTGCTTCTGTCACAGGCCTAGGGCCACCACATTGAAGGAGCTGGCCTGGGCCATTCATGATTTGCCTAGAGTACCCTGGGCTGCTCTCCTGGCCCCTGAGCTGCAGAGGCTGTGGCCAGCAAACTCAGGGAAGCCCTGAGGGCAGGTAAAGGGCTCACCCTGGGGTTGGGGCAAGTGGCCCAGGCCAGCACCTGGGTCTCTGCTTTCCTGTGGGGAAGCTGCCAGGACTCTCTACACCTGAGCTGGCTAGTATTTCTGGATGTCTCCAGGAAGACACATGGTAATTTTATCCCAGCTGAGCTGAGTTGAGCAACTGGAAGGCCATTGTGGGTTTGTCCTCCTTTCACCTTGACCTCAGAACTCTGGGGCCCCAGCCAGCCCCCAGTCTGAGCCAGTGGGCCTCTTTCAACATGGACCTCCTTGGACTTCAGAGCCAGGGCAGCTGGAGGGGCTCAGGGCAGGGCAGCGGTCCACAGGGTCTGTAGCCCAGCCTGGTCTTGTGGATGGGTGTGGGCCACAGTCAGGCACAGCCAAAACCCATGTCTCCACAGGAAGGGAAGTGAGCCAGCAGCTGTCCCACAGATCGTGACCAGAGGCAACATCCCATTCCCTCCCACCTGTGGTTCTGAGGCTTATGGGTGAGACACACCAAAGCCGCAAACAAGACTCAGTTGAGGGCTTTGGGTGACCTGACTTCTGCCCACCACCTGGCCCTTCCAGGAGGAAGGTGCCACCATGCCCACCATCAGGTTCAGCCATACATGTACCAGTCCTGGCATCAACACCAGCCTGTACCCTCTGCTGGCATGTCTGGAGCCTGTAAGTGGGCTGTGGTGAGTGTCTTCTCATGCCATGGTGGCTGGAGGGCCTAGTCTGCAACCCAGTCCTCACTCTTCCCCCAGGCAGTGGCCCCAGCCTCCTACATGCTTCTAGTCTTGACTGGCTGACAGCAGCTCTCCCCTCACACTGGCTTCCTTGCAAGGTCATGTTGACAGTTTAATTGTGTGACAGGTGCCAGGGAAGTGGAGAGCAGCTTCAGGGGCCCTCGCTGACTTCTCACCCTTGTGGAGTCTCCTTTTCCCCAGCTGTCATGGTGGGGCTGGACTCCATGGTGTTCCTTCAGCTCTGAGGTACACCCACACCCCTACAAGTTTCTCTTGCCCGGCCAGCTCTGGTGAAGCCAAGCCCAGCACTGCTTTTCCTCTCAAGGGCTCTGTCCTTACAGCTGGCTCTGGAGGGTATCACCTGTGGTGCGTATCCCCCCATGCAAGACTGTTGGTGCAGGAGCTAGGGAACCAGTGGAGTAGGCCTCAGCAGGTTGGTGGGACCAGGCTGGGAAGAGGCTGCAAGTAGCACTGGGCAGTATGGCCAGTACCCACCCCCTTGCTAAGCCTGGGTCTGCATGCTGCATACGTGTCCTGCTGCTTCTTGCCCATGAAAAACAAAGGCAGGGCAGCCAGGGAACAAGCTGAGGGGAAGTGCTGGCTCCTGCAGCAGCTGCCAAGCCCCCACCCCACCCGCTCCTCTGGGGCCTGGGGGCAGTACTGGGCAGCAGGCCGGATCCTGCCCCAGCACTAGGCCTCAGACGCTGGCCCTACCCTCTCTGGATGGGGCATCACACATCCAGTCACCTCCAGGAATCTTACTTCATGCAACCCAGCCTAAGCCTCAGCCAGGTTTGTCTTCAGTGTTCACTCTGCCACAAGGGTCAGGTGCCACCCTCATTCATGGCCAGCATGGCTGAGTGGCAGCTGGACTGCAGGTACACAGGAGCTCTGAGGCTGTGGTCCTCCTGCACTAACCTTGGCATCCAGGCACCCAGCAGTGGACTGGCCTCTCACTCCCTGCTGCTAGTCACACCAGCTGTGTGGCTACACACAGTCTCTTACCCTCTCTGAGCCCTGGCATCTGCCTATGAGCGAGATGGGGTGAGCTAGCATGTGCTGGGGGCAGCAGAGGACCTGGGAGGTAGTAACCCTCATCACACCAGCTCTTCCCACTGTCCCAGCGGACATGGAGACACCCACGGCCTGTGGTTCTGCTGGGCCTGACAGGAAGCAGAGGAGCCGGGTCAGAGTCCCACTCCAGGGGGAGTGGGCCAGCTGCTTCCGCCCAGCCTCAGATTAATGACTTTTAATTTAGAATTCAATCAATGCAGCTTCCCTCCAGAGAGCTGATGCTCTGGTCTGGGAGTACATTGTATGGTCTGTGAGTGGGGAGGCAGGGGGACCATGACGGCCTTGCCAGACCTGCCCCACCCCACATGAGTTTGCTCTGCTTTGCCTGCAGCTGGCGGCACCCAGTCATGGAGGACTGCAACGTGCACTCAGCTGCCAGCATTCTGGCCTCAGTGAAGGAGCAGGAGGCCCGCTTTGAGCAGCTGACACGGGCACTGGAGCAGGAGCGGCGCCATGTTGCCCTGCAACTGGAGCGTGCCCAGCAGCCTGGTGTGGGCAGTGGTGGCGTTGGCAGTGGGCAGTCCCTGCCAATGGCCTGGCAACAGCTGGTCCTGCAGGTAACAGCCTAGTGACTTGGGAAGTGTGAAAATGGCCAAGTGGGGAAACAATCAAGGGGTCCTAGTGGACCACTAGCCAGCATGCAATGGATTATAGCAAGACCTGCTGGAGCACCTGGGGAGGGAAGGAAAATAGGATCCCAAGAGTGCTGGAAGTCCCACTTGGGTATGCTGGGTACCATGTGAAGAGTGGGCAGGGCACAGTCTGACCCTCAGAACAACGCTTCCATGAAATGAGCGCTCAGGCCCAGGCAGCTAGTCTGTTCTGGGCAGTTGCTTGGTCAGCCTGGAGACCAAGTTTTGCCTGCCACAGAGTCTCTGTGCCATGGTGTTCTCCATTGCACACACTGCTGGGTCAGCCCCAGGGCACTTGCAAGGCCCGGGCTCTGCCTACAGCTCAGGGGGTGACCTGGGAGCCTTGTTTTCCTACAGGCCATGGTCCAGCTCCAGGAGGAATGGGCCCTGTCTGTTCCCTGGACAGGTCCTGAGAACTCATAAGTCAGGGCACATACTCAGAAATCAGGCCACTTGGACACCCCTTCCCTGTACCCACACCCTTGCCTGCAGATGGGCAGCAATGACCCTTGGATCAGGTGGTGAGAGCAGAACGAGGAAATGCAGGGAAAGCTGGGGTTCTGTGTGGTTATTGTGGTTCCAGTTATTGACAGAGACCCAGGGCAGGAGGTAATCGGACGGACGGTCCCAGCAGCCAGTGGAAAGAGGAAGGCCTCTCCTTACCAACCAACTCAGAGGCTGAGGGACCACCTGCTGTGTCCTCTGGATGCCTCACAGAGGAACCCTAGAGGGCCCTTGCAGTAGAGTCCTGTTTCTGTGGCTTAGCTCCCTGACCTCCAAAACCCAGCAGCTAGACCTCCCCCCAGCATTCCCCCAGCACCTACACACACCTGCCCTTCTCTGGTCCTGCTGGACCCTGGCTCCAGAGACCTGTGCCTGGCACACATGTGCTGGTGCCTTGAAGCAGCCTGGCTCTTGGTGCCTAGAGGGGAAAGGATCCAGGTGCTGGGCTCTGCTGAGGCTGGCCCTGTGGGCTCACCTCCCCAGCTAGGCATGTGGGCACAGAAGCAGCAGCCTATGTCAGGCTGGGGAATCTGGGGCTAGTGACTACTCCCTAATCCTTGATGTCTGCCAATGAACAGGTGATGGTTTCTGTGTCCACTCATGAGATCCATTGGAATGTGCAACCCAGCACAGGTGTAGTCAGAGTCAATATCTCCAGAGGACCCCAGCCCCACTAGGAGCCCACTTTCTAAGCCCCTGGTGCCTAGAAGCCTCCAGAGGTTTAGGTGCCAGGGCCATCCCCATAACCCCAGACTCCAGACACTCCAAAGGATGAGACCTGCACCCCCCCAGACTTAAGGTGGAAGCAGAACACCCTGTCTGGGCCACATGGAAACAGTGGCAGCCAGTGACCCCAAGGCTGCCCTTCTGGCACCAGGGCCCTCAGTCTAGCTCTTCCAGGCTGGAACAGGCTCTATTCTCCAGCCCATGGACAGGCAGTGTGGGAGGATTGACGACATCCCAGAGGGTTGATGCCCTTGTAGGGAGATGTTCCCATGGCCTGGAGCTGCCCTGATCTCCTTAAGGCGGAGGAGTGCAAGACATTGGGCTGTTGCCCCACTGCCTCTGCCCACCTCCTTGATTTTTCTCAGGCAGAGATAGGGAAAGCACATGCTCCCAGGGCTATAGCTGAGTGGGCTAATGGGAGTCTGGGGGAAGAGGGACCACAGCTGACCAGGTCCAGCTGCCTCCATGCCAGACTTGTTTTCCAGTTTGATCTCAGCAGAAGTGCCTAGTGATCCACCCACTAAACCCCAGGGTCAGAGCTGGGGGTTTAAGAATCTTAGGGTTGGTGGCGAGACAGGTGGCTGTTGGCAGAGGCTGGAAAGCCAGGCGAGGTTGTGCTACTTGCTCTGCATTCTTCAGCAGAAAGGGCCCCTCCTCCAGATACCTAGCTGGAGCAGGGCTGCTCCCCGGCCCTGTGGACCTGGCCAGCTGGACTGTTGGGCTTACCCTGAGCTCAGAAAGGTGGGTATGTGGCCGGGGCACTGGCAGTTGGTGAAATTGAGAAGATGGAACCAGCTTAAACATCAGATCCTGGTCATTCCCTTAGGGCAGTGTTCCGGTCTTCCTACACACTGCCCTGGGTGGCTCCACAAAGGCCTGCGCTAGATGGAAGATAAGGGCACCAGCAGTCAGGTGGCTCACCCTGTGCAGGTGGGGAAACTGAGGCTCAGAGGGGCACGTGGTAGGCACCAAGTCTTTAGCGTGCTGGCCACATAGCTTCTGTACATGGTACATGTGGAAGCAGGGGGTGGAGGTGGCCCCAAGAGAGGCTGTTTGCTGAGAGGGTTCCAGAGAGGAGCTGGTGGGAGGCCTTGGGCTGGGGGCCTTTCTCTTGCCAAACCCACTAGGTCTCCCTGAGCTGGTCCCAGCTCTTTTTATCTCAGAGCTGTTCACATGCTGGAGCCATTGGCTTGCCTCTGTAAGGTGTGACTCAAGAAGGTGGTCTTAGCTGGGTCCCTCTTTCCCCTTGCCTCCAGCAGAGCCAGACTCCCCAGGGTGTGGCTGAACATTTGTACAGGCTCCGGGAGGGGTCTCGTTAGGGAGAACTCAAGACACAAAATGGAACCCTTGCAGGACTGTTGTCTAGGTCCTCATTGAGCTCTGTGAGGACGGTTCCTTGGAAGCCCATTCTGGTTAGGGATTGGTCTGCGGCGGGCTCTGGGAGACCTGCAGGACCTTGCAGCGCCGACACCAGCCCCCATTTCACAGCAGGGTGACACTGAGTCGCAGCCAGGCTGAGCGGTTTATGCCAGTGGGGGTGACCTTATGCTCGGCCCATCGCGGCACCGGTCCCTACCCTGCGGGAGTTCACTTTCTCCTTCCACAGGCAGAGACACTTATGCTCATTTATGGGGAAAACGGAGGCCTGGGAGGCAGGGCCTGGCCCAAGTCACTCGGCGGGGAATGTCACCCTTGCCGCGGAGAGGGGTGAGGAGCTCACAACCCTGGCTGAAGATCGGGGAGAGGGAGGGGAGGTAGCCAAGCTACTGGCCCCACTCCACCCGCCCAGGTGCCCCGCCCACTGGCTTGTGGCCCCGACCCACCGGCCCAGGTGCCCCTCCCATTGGCTACTGGCCCCGCCCCACCAGGGTGCCCCGCCCATTGGCTGCTGGCCTCGCCCTGCCGGGGCGCCCCGCCCATTGGCTGCTGGCCGTGGCTGCCGCCGGATCCGCCCCGCGGGGAGCGAGTCCGCAAGCCGAGCCCGAGTGCCGGAGCAGCCGAGCCCGGTCCCGCTGCCGCCTGCGCCCCACGCCCCGGCCCGATGCCCGCCGAACTCAGACAGGTTGGAGGGTGCTCAGCGGGGGCACCGGGGGGAGGCCAGCCTGTCCGCAGGACCCGCTTTGTTCCGCGGATCCCGGCGCGGACTGCTATTGTCTGTCCTCTCGGTCAGGCTGTGAGGGCCGGGTCGGGCGGGGTGAGCGCTGCCCCCCGTGTGCAAGGCGCAGGCCCCGGGTCTCTGGAGCGCCTCGGGGCTGGGATTGGGCCCAGGCTGTGCGACCCTGCGCGGAGTGTCCGGAACCCTGGGGGGCGCACCCTAGCGGGTGCCCAGGACAAATACGAGAACCTGGCGGGGGGGGCATCCCGACCAGTACCCAGGACAGGTGCGGGGACCTGAGGGAGGCTGAGTCTGGAGGGGGAGCCCTGCTGGGCCTCCTGCTCCCTGGAGGATTATTCTCCTCTCCCCTGCACCTCCCACTCCGGGGACCAGCGAAGGAGCTTCTGGAGCTTTAGTGGAAGCCCCCCTCTGCCAGGGTGCACATGATGGAAGGCCGGCCCTGCCCACATGCAGGCGGTCAAGGGGGTCTCCAAGGAATACCAGGACCTTCTGCCTAGGTGCCGAGGTGGAAGGGAAGGCATGGGCAGCCTGCACTCTGCCGACAGGGGCCAGGTTCAGTAACAGGCAAGGAAACTAAGGCTGAGCTGGGTAGAGACCACCCAAGACCCCCTGGGGTGGGAGTCAGGTCTCCCACACACCTGCCTACCTGGGCAACCAGCTCTCTGCCTGTTGTGCAACCCTGATGTGGTCCCCAGGTTCTGGCTGCTGACTGCCCCAGAGATGGAGGGGCCAGTTGTGGGAGAGATTTATGTCACAGTGTGGCTGATCATCCAGGATAAGCTTGGGGAGGCTGGAGATGGTGACAGCTAGCCCTGCTCTCTCCCAGTTTGGTCTTCCAGCTTGGCCTTTTGGCCCCTCTGCCTGGGGCCACACCCTCGAAAGTGCACTGCTGTGTGGAGTGGTGAGCTCTGGGTCCCTGGGATTGGGCAGAGACCATGGGCACGAAGGGAAAGGGCGTTTTGTGATGGCCAAGGGCTTGCTACCTGGTGAAAGAGGTCAGCCTGACTTCTTTACCTGGGAGAACCATGCTGGGAGTGGAGGAACTCACTCCTCCATCCTTCCATTCATCCATCCATCTGGTGGCAGCCATCTCATGCTCTCAGAGAGCCTGGCCCATGGGTGTGGGATCCACATGGTACAATCTCAGCCCATCCCCTGTGTGTGCCAGTGGGGCCTTGGACAGGGTGGGCACCCACCCCACAGTCTGCTCTTCAGAACACAGATTGTGGGTGTTGTAAGGTACAGACAGTGCAGGTAGATAGGTGCCTCTGGGACACCAGTCCAGTCCTCATCCCAAATTAGGACTTGACTTGTTTCCTCTGCTGTCCCCGCTCCCATTCGGGGCTGTTGTGGACTTTGCCCCATGACAGCCCCTCTGTATGTTGGTCCACCTCTTCACTGCTCTGCATTGCTTGCACCTGGCTAGTGCTCCCTGGCATGTCCCATGGCCCTGGCCCCCATGTCCTTTCCATCTCCTTGTGAGAAAGCCCAGCCCCAGGTGTGTGATGGGGCCCAGAGCCCTCATGCTGGACTCAGACCTGTACCTCTGGGACCCTCTTAAGAGCAGGGGAGAGTGGGTGGGTCCACATCCAAGGAAGCTCATGGGAAACCCCAGACCTGGGAGCAGTCCCTCTCCAGGCCAAGTGTGAGGGACAGACCTGGTACACCACAGATGAGAGAGCCACGGGAAGGATGAGTAACTGGATGAGAGGCTGGTCATAATCCCTGCACAAGGGTTGGGGAGAGGTGACAGGAGACAGTTGGCAGGACACAGCCTGTGGGGTTGGATGTCCAGGATGGAGTTAATGTTTGGGGTGCAAAGGGGAACAGCCCAGGATTCTGGAGCACAGGCTCTGTGGGGCTGCAGGGCCAGGGTTCCTGAGAGCAGGACAACCTGGGCAGGTCCATGTGTGACGTGGAGTCCTAGGGTAGGGCATGGGGGCAGACAGGAATCCAAGGACCCACTATTCCATGGCCTACCCTGAAGATGATGCAGAGGCCTGAGCCACACAGCATGTAGGTGGAGGAGATAAGGATGTATGTGCTGAGGGTGCCTCAGGAACAGTGGGTGCTGTGCGCTTAGGGTGCTCTTAGGAGAGCATGCAGGTTGACAAGCTCAGGCCTGCGCCAGGCTGGGCACTTGCATGTGCACATATGGGTTCCTGGGGGGGCCAGGTACATGCATGTGTGTTCAGATTCCTATCTATGTGTGTGTGTGTGTGTGTGTGCCCAGGCGTGTGTAATGGAGCCACTTTCTGTGATCACCGGGTGACTCACGCTCCGCCGCCAGGGTGAAGTCATCACTCACTTTTAGCTCCCTGAGGTCATTTGCCAGCAGGGACTCGGGGCCTCAGGATCCAGAGGCTGGGCTGCAGGGCCTGGGCCAGGTTGGTGGGTGATGCCACAATTTTGCCAGGCTCCCACCCCCTCAATTATACTGTATCAGACCCTCGCCACTGCCAGGGTGAGTGGGTGAGCTGGGCCCACAGAGGGACATTGAGGCCCCAAGATGTCCTTCTCCTCTTCCTCTCTCCCTTATCCCCGCTGCCTAGCTAGGGAGTAGGGAACTGTTCTTTGAGTGTCTAATATATGCAAATATATGCAAATCTGCGGGCCACATCCCAGTGACAGAGTGTCCTGGGCAATGTTCCCTCAGTCTTGCTTCACCCTCCACCCTACCCCACCACCAGAGCTGTAGCCCCTGGGAGCCAGGCCCCCATGCTTGAGCTGACCAGTTCCATGGGCCCAGTAGAGCGAGCTTAGGTTGTAGCATACATTGGACCTGCGATTGCCAAATACAGACAAGGCAGCCAGGCCCCTGCTCCAGAGTTTCACTTCCCAGTACCCTTGGAAAAGAGCCCAGCTCACCCTGCCTGGCAGCCCACCAGTTGTCCCCACTCTGGGCCTCAGTATATTTCTTTTCCTCAAAGAACAGGGTCCCTTTTTGGTGTCCAAGTCCCCAGCAGGCGTTCTACCTGCATCCTAAGACTGGGGATGAGGTGTAGCCCAAAAGCCTCCTTGTCAGTCTCCATTTACCTGAAGTACCTACGCCAGCATTGCAGAGTTAGGGTTAATCCTCTCCCCCATGCCAGGCCTCAGTGTTCCATCTATAAAGTTATCCATCATCTTCTGAGGCCCTGCTCCTGAGGGGCAGGGAGGTGCATTCTGTGGCTGCCTCTTTCCTGTGTCACCAGAGCCTGAGGGATGAACTTAACATGTTGGTGCCAGCTCCTCCTTGTACGTTGTACTGTACATATTAGGGGCCAAACTTTTCTCTAGGGTGGGACCCTCCACCTGGGGAGGGGAGGCTTCCTGTACAAGGACCTGGGCAGGCAGATCCTGAGGGCAGCGTGGGCCCCTTGCCCCAGGAGCAGGCAGAGTCAGCTCTGGAACCAGGCCCCCAGGCAGGGGACCCATTGTACAAGGCCCGGGGGCCTGGGCCACCGAGTGGGGCCTATCCTCCTTATGACCTAGCCCTGGCTGCCCAGGAATGTACTCCCCACTCACCCACCCACTAGGACTTGGGTTTCAGCCCCTGCACGTCCTGGCTGGTTACAGCTCCCAGGGTGTCGGCATGGTGCTGCCCTAGGACTGGGAACCTGTGTGATCAGAGGCCCTGGGACAGGCTGTGGGTCTCTAGTTCTCATGTCGCTCAGCACAGCAAGGGTTGGACCTGGCTGTGCTGTGGTCAGCCTATCCTCTTTGAGCCTCAGTTTCCCCACTGGCAAGACTAGCCAGCAGGCATGGGGCCTCATTCAAAGCAGTCTTGCCCAGAATTCCACCACTGTCGGCACCTACAGGGTGGTGACAAGGGTGGCTGTCGGGTTGAATCCACCGTCTCTGGTCTCTGATGATGCTCAGGGTCTGTAGGGCCAGGCTATGCCCACTTGACGCCCAAGAATGTTCAGGCTGAAAGAAGCGAGGGTATTTTAGTGCTCTGGGTACACAGGGTGTTATGGGAGCTGGGTATTTCTGTCCTTTGAGGGCGTCTGGCTGGCCACGGGGGTGGCAGCCTGGGTGTGGCCACAGGAGTCTGTGAGCAGCACTGAAACTACCCCCGCTCAAGGCTTTTGCACTCAAGATTTCTGGGGTAAGGACGGGAGGGGCCCAGGACACCATGAAGGCCCAGCCAGGGGTGGCGGATGATGTCAGGAGGGCATCTTGCAGGTCTCATTGGCGTCTCCTTGGGCCTGGAGGGGCCTGTGACTGCCAGGCCTCACAACTTGTGGAGGATCCCCAAGACTATACCTCTGGGGTCTGTGCCATGGCCTCATCTGCCAACTCAGCCCAAGGAGGGATGGGCAACTGTCAGGATCCACCTTGATGTTCAGAGGGCAAGAATATGCCATGGGCCTCGCCAGCTCAGGCAGACACGGGCCCTGGGGTAGATGTCTCGGGCCAGGAGGAAGGCATGCTAGCCAGCACAGGCTGAGACAGAACCGCCACGTGGGGACCTTCACTACAGGATGCATGAGCAGCAGGCCTGCCCACCAATGCCCTCCTTACCCCAGGAGCAGAGCCCAGGCAGCCAGGCCTCACTGGCCACCATGCCAGAGGCGCCTGAGGTGCTGGAGGAGACAGTGACAGTGGAGGAGGACCCTGGCACACCCACTTCCCATGTGTCCATCGTTACCTCCGAAGATGGCACCACCCGGCGCACTGAGACCAAGGTATGACCAGACCGGGTAGTGGGAGTACAGGCTAGATAGCCATAGCTGTCCCATGCAGAGCGGGCATGTGGGCCGGCTGCCTGTTCTGGTAGAAAAGTGAGGCCAGCCAGGCCCTGTTGTGGCAGTTTCCAGGCTTCTAGGGCTGCCCAGCCTACCCATCACCCACCTATCCACCAGGTCACCAAGATGGTCAAGACAGTGACCACGCGGACAGTACGCCAGGTGCCTCTGGGCCCGGATGGACTCCCCCTGCTGGATGGTGGCCCCCCGCTAGGTCCTTTTGCTGATGGCCCCCTTGACCGGCATTTCCTACTGCGTGGTGGTGGCCCAGTGGCTACTCTTTCCCGAGCCTACCTCAGCAGCGGAGGTGGCTTCTCTGATGGCCCCGAGCCCCGGGAAGGCCCCAGCTATGGCAGCCTGTCTCGAGGGCTGGGTGTGCGGACCCCACGTGCTGGACCCCTTGGCCCAGGCCCTGGTGATGGCTGCTTCACGCTGCCTGGCCGACGCGAGCCCTTCCCAGTGGGCCCTGAGCCTGGGCCGCCGGGTGGCCGCTCCCTGCCAGAGCGCTTCCAGGCAGAGCCGTATGGCTTGGAGGATGACACACGCAGCCTGGCCGCCGATGATGAGGGTGGTCCCGAGCTGGAGCCTGATTACAGCACGGCCACGTGGAGAAGGCCCGAGTGTGGGCGGGGCCTTCGTGCCAGGTGAGCACCCATCCCCCCACCTGCCTCATCTAGGAAGTCTACCTTCTACTCTCTAGCCACAGAGTACCCCATAATGTAGTCAAGCTGCTGTGGTTGAGTGGTCATGAGCACTTTAGCTTGAATTGGCCTTGGCACTTGTCAAGGATAGCAAAAGGGTAGGCCTTGGGATGGTAGAAGTTAGGTGGACCCCCTCACAGGTCCAGGGCACAAGAGAAGCCGGTGACAGAGCCTAACACCTGCTGCCTTTGTTCCAAACAGATGACTGTAAAGACTCAAATACAAGAGGTGGTATTATTAGTCTGAGGCCCCAGCCTGTCCCTGGGCCTCAGTTTCATACATGTATATTAGTAACCAGAGTCCAGAACCCCTCGCCTTTCTGTCCCCCTGCCTCCAGTTCTATCTCTGCTGCCCTCTGTGTCTGTATCTGCAGAGTCAGAACATGACCACAACCTGGGTCTAGATTCAGCTGTGACTCTAGGCAAGTCACCTGACCGCTTCTGCCCTCAGTCCCTCCCCTGGGTGGTGGGTTTAATGATCACAACCCAGCAGTCTGAGGAGCACCAAGGACATCTCGTGTCCTAAGGGGCTGGTGGCCCAAATATCCCTCGAACAGTCCCACTGGGGTGGTTGTATGCGGAGAGTCACCCACTCCCCCCACATCCTGGCATCAGCCAGAGATGGGCCTCATGAGAAGATGGGTGGGTGGTTTTTTGGTTTTTGTTTTTTTAAGCAGGATTTATTGAGAGAACAGAAAAACTCCCACAGGGAAGGGACCTGACGGAGTTACCCGTGGTGGTTTTATGAAAGGGAGATAGCCCCCCACCCCAATCGTGGACAGATATTGCATGGAACCTCCATTTAGCTCAAGACTAGGGAACAGCAGTGAGTGAGTTCCCTGTCCTGGGAGGGATACAAGCCCTGAAGGCCATCGGCTGGGTTTGGCTCTCATTGGTTCTGGCTATGTTCTTGCTGGACCGGGTAGCATGTGACTGTCTGTACCCTGTGGGCACCCTGGGTCTGTGCTTGGGGCTAAGACACAGACGTGCTCAACCTGGCCCTGTTGAGTGTGTTCATGGTCCTTGAGAAGGTTGATGGGGCAGCTCAGAGGCAGGGCCAGTGGCTGCTGTGACATGTCCATGCACCCCACTCATCTGCACAGGGCCTATGAGGATGCGGCAGATGATGCCGGTGAGCTGATGGACGAGCGGCCTATGTTTCCGGCAGCAACAGCACCCCTAGCCCAGCCTGAGCGGGGCAGCCTAGGCAGCCTGGACCGGCTGGTGCGGCGCTCACCCTCAGTGGACAGCGCCCGCAAGGAGCCTCGCTGGCGGGACCCTGAGCTGCCTGAGGTGCTGGCCATGCTGCGGCACCCTGTGGACCCTGTGAAGGCCAATGCGGCTGCCTACCTGCAGCACCTGTGCTTTGAGAATGAGGGTGTCAAGCGGCGTGTGCGGCAGCTGCGGGGGCTACCGCTGCTCGTGGCCCTACTGGACCACCCTCGGGCTGAGGTGCGGCGCCGGGCCTGCGGGGCACTGCGCAACCTCTCCTATGGCCGGGACACTGACAACAAGGCCGCCATCCGGGACTGTGGTGGGGTGCCTGCCCTGGTGCGCCTGCTGCGTGCTGCCCGGGACAGTGAGGTCCGTGAGCTCGTCACTGGTGAGTGGGGCCTGGCCATGTCTGCCTCCCTCAGGAGAGGTGAGGCCACCCTGGGTCTCGTGATTGGGAAGCCACCCGGTAGTACAGAGTCCCAGTTGCCCTGGGAGGTAGGCGTCAGGCCCAGATGCCATGACAGGTCCCCATCCTCAACCACAGGAAGAACTGCCACCAGGCACCTCAGGGGGCACCCTCCCCACTTGTCCCCACAACAGCTCTCCTAGGGCCCACTGCTCTGCTTCCCACCCTGATGGTGCCATGGTGTGGCTTGTGCCTTGTGGGCCTGAGGGACAGGTACCTGTCTCTGCAAGATTTTATGACCTCAGGAGTATGAGTCCCCACCCACGTAGCAGGGAATAGGTGGGATGAGACAGTATGCCTGTGCCTCCTCTGTACCCTACCTCCTTTGGGGGCAGTCTCCCAACTGGAAGCCACTGTTGGGGCCTAGGCCAAGTTAGCCCAGAACCTCTCCAGGCTTTCATCACTTCCTGCTGTTCCATGCTAGCCGGGGCACAAAAAGGGTCCTGAGCATAGCCACGGGATGCAGGGAGGGATGTCCATGGTCAGTGTGGTTGGTTGATTGTGCCCGACAGGCACACTCTGGAACCTGTCATCCTACGAGCCCCTGAAGATGGTCATCATCGACCACGGCCTACAGACGCTGACCCACGAGATCATTGTGCCCCACTCAGGTTGGGAGCGCGAGCCCAATGAGGACTCCAAACCGCGGGATGCTGAGTGGACAACTGTCTTCAAGAACACGTCGGGCTGCCTGAGGTGTGGGCAGGGCTGAGCCTGGGCCTCTGCCTGGTGCTGTTCCCTTTAGGTGACCAGCTACCCAGGCATCTTCATGGTCCCACATGGTGTGGAGGACAGCGTGCCATGTTATGAGTCCTGTGGATAAGAAATGGACTGACGGGGCTGCATTTCCCCAAGGGCACCCTCTGGCCAAGGCCTCCTGCCTGTGCAGTACCCCAGCCCTGCTCAGCTTCTCCCCAGTCTCCCAATGACCAGAGGGGAGCCAGGACCTTCATGTTCACTTGCCTGGAGGCTCATCCCAATTCCTGACCCCTACCCTCTCCCCAACCCTAGGAAGCCCTGCAGAAACCCTACAGACAGAATCCTGGGTCCCCACATTCCTGCTTGCCCATCAGGATATGGCCCTATGGGGTCCTGATCTCAGGGCAAGGTGGTGCCCAGAGCTGCCACTGGAGTGGGGCAGGGGAGCCAGAATTCAGGCCTCTTTGGGCCCACCTCTGTCCCTTTCCAGTTCAGCTGGGAGTCAGGGAAGCCCCTTCTTCCTGGACAGAGATGCCGGTAGGTAGGGCACAACCTGGGGTTCAGACTCTTTGGCCCCCTTCCCTTCACTGTGCTCCAGCCTGTTCTATCCTGTCCCAGTCCCTGGGTGGCAGCAGGTCCTGTTTTGCAGTTAAAAACAAACTCTGGAGGCTGGGGCGGTGGAGGCTGGGGTGAGCTGGGGGAGTTTCCATGGGGGCTGAGGGTCATGGGAGTGCTCTTGGCCACCCAGAAACGTGAGCTCAGATGGTGCTGAGGCCAGGCGGCGCCTCCGGGAGTGTGAAGGGCTGGTGGATGCGCTCCTGCATGCTCTGCAGTCGGCGGTGGGCAGGAAGGATACGGACAACAAGGTGGGCAGGCAGGATGGGGAAGGTCCCACAACCTGCCCCCAGGGTGGAAGGGAGGAGGAGCAGGCACTGGACCTGGGGGCTGGAGGTGTTAGCTGTGACACAGGGGAATGGTATGCAGTTTGGGGGCAGCACCTGCACGTGGTCCACCACCTCACGATGGTCCACACTGAAGCAGGTGTGGTCCTCCATGGGTCAGGTGCTGCATGAGGCTGGGCTTCCTTCTCCAGCCCCTCCCTGATGACTAGTGCCATGCAGGCCCCTAGCTGAGGCCTCAGGATGCTCTCGGGACCCTGGGTGTATGCTGGCTGGCCAGCCGTAGCATCTTTCCTGAGCCAGCACTGTGTGTAGGGTGCCCCAGCCACTCACCTCTCCCCACAGTCAGTGGAGAATTGCGTGTGCATCATGCGGAACCTGTCCTACCATGTGCACAAGGAGGTGCCTGGAGCCGACAGGTACCAGGAAGCTGAGGCTGGGCCCCCCGACAATGCTGCAGGCTCCCAGCGCCGGAGGCGGGATGATGCCAGCTGTTTTGGTGGCAAGAAGGCCAAAGGTGGGTGGTGAGACTGGGACACCATTCTGGACCCCCCCCCCTCCGGTTGAAGGCTCTCCATACCCATGACAGACCATCACAGAGGCCAGGGCACACCTGGACAACCCCTGATGGGCTGGCAGCAGGGAGCCCAGGAGGGTGTCCTGCCCCAGGTCACACCACAGATGAGAGCCAGAGTGCAGGACGTAGTCCAGGGGAGGACAGGAAGGAAACCCATGTGGTCCCATAGTGCCCAGACCCAGTCATTTCACTCTAGGGCAGTGTTCTGCAGGCTGCTGACTGGGAAAGTGCACAGATGATGCCACCTACTGGCTGTCCACAGAGTGGCTGCAGCCTTGACCAGCCTGAGGGCAGCCCCTATCCCTGGCGAGGCTCCCCCACCCCATTCCCTCCCCACCGCATTGACAGGGTGTAGTTTCCCAGCAGCTGCAGTAGCCTGGCATGGCCTTCCCCAGGCCCACTGACCCTAGGCCTCCCCTTCCCTGTCCCTTTGGTGGGCATTCAGCCCCCAGAAGTGATTGAGGTGAGGTTCTGCGTGCCACCAGACTCAATCCAGAGTGTGCAACGGGAAGTCAGACCTCCAGGGAGGGCATGGGAGGGGGGTGCTGCGTGCTCAGGTTCCTCTCCTCTCTCCTGTGCTTGCTCCGTCACCAGAGGAGTGGTTTCATCAAGGTGAGTCCCTGTGTGTCCTAGTGTCCAGTCCTGGTGCAGTGGGCTTCCAGGAGTGGGAAGCGTGTCCAGCTTGAGGCCTTGCCCTACCTCCTTGATGGTGGCAGGAATGTGAGCTCCTGACTGGCAGGCAAGCCAGGGACTGTCCTGTAACCTCAGATGTGCCTACCTAGGTGGGGCTGGGCTGAGCAGAGTGGGCAGGAGCAGGACCCAGGGTGTGTTCCTTCCTAGGGTACCAGAAATTGGTCTGTTCCTATGATGGAATGGGGTGATGTGTGGCTCAGTGGGACAATACAAAGGTCCAGGAGGGTGAGTGGGGGTGGGGTCAGGCAGGGAATCTGAGCTCAGCTCTGCTGTCTTCCAGAGGGGCAAGCATGTTCTCATCTGAGATGAGGGTGGCTGGAAGGCAGTGAGTTTACTGTCACAGAGGTGTACAAGTAGGGCTCCACAGATGTTAGGTGGGACTGCTGCAGGGGTCCAACCTGGGCATGGGGGTTTCTCCAGACCAGTAGAGCCTAAGATGGTTCCCCTTGGGAAAGTTCTTGACCCCAGCCCTATCCTGCTGTGTGACCCTTGCAAGCCCTGTCCCTGCCAGCCTTCAGTCTCTCTGCTTGTACCTACCTGCCACTCAACCTGGGCTCCTGGCTTTCTCAGTGGCACAGCTGGCAGCCACAAGAGAGCCACTGAGAAGGTACAGCCTCTGGTGGGAGATGAGCCCTAAGTGCTTGGCTCACGGCTGAAATATCCCCAGGCGCCACTGTCACCACTGTCCTCTCCTGGGCCTGCCTGCTCAAACTCTGAGAATGATACTCCACTTTAGGGTCCTCTTGGTGTCCAGGCCTGGGCAGTGTGCTCACCCTCCTAATATACTCCCATCCCCATGGGGTCCACCTCACCTCCCACCCCCTTTCCCTTCCAGGGAAGAAGGATGGTGACATGGACCGGAACTTTGACACGCTGGACCTGCCCAAGCGAACTGAGGCCGCCAAAGGTGAATGGGCTCAGGCAGGGCCAGTGGCAGATCCCAGGCCTAGGTCTGTCCTGGTAGTGAAGCTTTGGGCTATCAAGCAGGCCTGGAGGGGCATGCACATGGAGTGTGTGGGAGCAGGCAGTCCGGAGAGGCTGGAGTGGAGGGAACATAGGGCATAAGAATGGGGGAGGGTGATGAAATGTGGAGGATGACAAGGAGAAGGAGGTGTAGTTTCCCAAGCCAGGAAGAAGTCCTAGCGTAGAGACAGGCGGGCTTGGAAAGCTGCCTCAGCCCCTCGACTCCAGAGCACTGAATAGAGAAGCAAGATGGGGCCTCAATTGCCAGGGAACCTGTCACAGTTGGCTGGGAGAGTGCGTCCTGTTGTCCTGTTGCTAAGGCAGCCGCCCTGAATGCAGGAAGGTGGACTGTTGCCAGAGAGGGCAGGCTCTGTTGCTAGGGGAATAACTCCAGTTGCATAGCCTCAATAACATATCTGCAGACGCTATTGCCAGGGAAGGTGGGCCCTGTTACTAGGGGCATGGCCCTGGTTGCACAGCCTCAGTAACATACTGGCCAGTGCTGGTCCTGTTGCTAGGGAGGGTGAATTCTGCTACTAGGGGTGTGGCCCTGGTTGCACAGCTTCAGGTACCTACAGAGAAATGGTTGTCTCCTCCCTCCCCACCCCAGGCCTCCTGGACGCTCCTGCTGCCAGGCAGGTCTGACTGAACCTCGGTTTGCCCCTCTGTGAAATGGGAATTCTTTCTTCTTTGGATGATTGTGTTGATAGTAGACATTCCATGATTGTCCCACATTTATCCCTGGCCCCAGCTCACCTCTGCCCTGGGAGCTGTGAGGACACTGACGGGGTAGGAGGTAGGGGTATGATGGAGGTTCTGGGTGACCGTGGGTGGGCTGTCCTGTACCCAGGCTTTGAGCTGCTGTACCAGCCTGAGGTAGTGCGTCTCTACCTCTCCCTCCTCACCGAGAGCCGGAACTTCAACACCCTGGAGGCCGCCGCCGGCGCCCTGCAGAACCTCAGCGCTGGCAACTGGATGGTGAGGGGTGGGGTCCGGCAGGGAGGGCGGACCTGAGACAGAGAAGGAGCCCCAGGCACCCTGCTGGTGCAGCTTCTGCTGGGCTGGCAGGGAGAGGAGGGGACACGGGGCCCCCAAGGCCTAAGAGGTTCAGTGTGCCTGGGTTGCAAGCAGTACACCCTGACCCGTTGGGATACTGCTTGTTAGAGGTGGTGCTGGGCTGTCGCAGTGGGGCTTTGTTGAGCAGGGGAGCAGGAAGACCCCTCCCAGGGTGCAGGCCAGGGACAGGGAGGAGCCAGCCCGGCAGGAGCAGCTGAGCAACCCCTCCCACCCTCGCCACTTCCCCACCTCCCTGACCCCTCCACTCCCTCACAGTGGGCCACATACATTCGTGCCATGGTGCGCAAGGAGCGCGGACTGCCAGTGCTGGTGGAGCTACTGCAGTCTGAGACCGACAAGGTGGTGCGCGCTGTTGCCATCGCCCTGCGTAATCTCTCGCTGGACCGGCGCAACAAGGACCTCATCGGTAAGAACACGGATGGGGAGGTGGCTTAGGGGTCCAGGCCTCATCCCCGCCACTTGGGAGGGTCCCAGGTGCGGCGACGCTTGTCTTCCCAGCCTTATCCTTGAAGCTCAGCTTTCTGTTCACGGGGTGGCTGCAGTGTCCTAGGGCATTGCCGGGCTGGCTTTCACCAGGTCATCTCTCCCGGAGGCGTGGGCAGGGCATGTCCTGACAGTGTACCCCCCACCGCAGGGAGCTACGCCATGGCTGAGCTGGTACGGAATGTGCGCAGCACACAGGCTACAGTGCGGCCCAGCGTCCATCTGGAGGAGGACACAGTAGTGGCTGTGCTCAACACCATCCACGAGATCGTGTCTGACAGCCTGGATAATGCGCGCTCGCTCCTGCAGGCCCATGGTGTGCCTGCACTTGTGGCCCTTGTGGCCTCCAGGTGGGGGAGGAGACCAGGAGGGCAGGGTGGGGTGGGGTGGAGGATGGGCTGCCGCTGACACCGCCCACTCTGCAGCCAGTCTGTACGCGAAGCAAAGGCAGCATCGCACGTGCTGCAGACAGTGTGGAGCTACAAGGAGCTGCGTGGGGCCCTGCAGAGGGATGGGTGGACCAAGGCACGCCTTCAGGTATAGCTGACCTCCCCTTCACTTCATTGAGTCACTGGGTTGGGTCCCAAAGAGAGTGCCAGCCCCACCTACCTCTGTTTTGTGCCTCCTCAGTCAGCGGCTGCTGCTGCCAAGGGGCCCAAGGGAGCACCGAGTCCTGGGGGCTTCGATGACAGCACGCTGCCACTGGTGGACAAGAGCCTGGGTGAGTGGTAGGAGTGGGGCCTAGGGGATAGGAGGCAAGAGTGGCTCCCCACCTGCTGAGGGCAAGAGGGGGTGAGGGTGGAGGAGAGAGACAGGCCTCCTGCTAGGATGGCTCCACAGTTGGGGCCTCCTTCCTGCTCTGTCTCTGGAATATTCCCTTTCCATGGCGTTCATCTTGGTGTCAAGCTGGTGGGGTGCCATCTGGCAGAGAATGGGCAGAAGGAAGCAGAGACCTAGTGACCCAGAGCACCTAGGGTCACCTGGGCCAGCTCTGCATGGGCTTATCTGCCCTGTCCCCACTGCCACCACGTGCCTGCTCATGCCTTGCAGATGGTGAGAAAACAGGCAGCAGGGATGTAATCCCCATGGATGCACTGGGCCCAGGTGAGTGCAGATGCTTCCTGGCTTGTTTCCTGTGGGGGATAGGTGAAACTTGATCGTCCTCCTGGTTTTATGAGGTGTGACTGGTGCTAGTTGGAGAGGAGAGATTTGGTGTAGGGATCTCAGGGAGTTACCATGGGGGGTTCGAGCTGCCATGGAGGGCTGGAGCTGGCACCTGTGCAATCCTGCTGTGAGGGACAGGTGGGAACCCCCTCCAAAGCTACTGTCCCAGGACCCTCCTGCATCTGGGCTGAGAGGGAGAGCTGCTTTGACAGGCCTGTCCCTCAGAGCTCCTGTGTCCTCACCTTCCCCCACACACAGATGAATATTCCACAGTGGACCGGAGGGAGCGGCGGGCAAGGGGTAGCACCTCTGCAGGGGAGGCCTCTGAGAAAGAACCATTGAAAGTGAGTGGCTGTGGGCAGGCGCCTGGGGGCTTTGTGCCTTGGGGTTACCTGAAGGGTGGCCCAGGTTGTGGTGAGTCTGGTCTGGGCCCCAAGGGGGAAGCAGCTCTCTCACACCAGTCTGGCTGTGAGTGCTGATAGTTCAAAGCTTACCCTGCTATGAGGGAGGGATGGGGCAGCACTCCCCGGCCACCCATGCACGGCAGAGAACCTCTGAGCAGCGAGTCCACACTCCCTTACGCATGCGCTTGCCAGGCAAGGGCAGCACCTGCTGCCTGCTCTGTGCCAGTCCCTGGCTTTGTGTGCAGGCTCTGTGTGTCTACATGCCACCCTGGCCTGTGAGCCACACCGGCTGGCTCCCCTGTGCTGCCTTGGCAGGCCCCCACCCCCACCCCACCTGGCCCTGGCCCTGCTCCCAATTGAGCGCTGACTAACCTGCTCTGTTATGCCTCTAATGCCTTCCTGTCCACCTGCCCACGTGTGCTGCAGCTCGACCCTGGCAGGAAGGCCCCTCTACTCGGGCCCAGCAGGCCTGCAGTCAGGCTGGTGGACGCCGTGGGGGACGCTAAGCCTCAGCCCGTTGACTCCTGGGTCTAGCTTGCATGCCTGGTATGTCCTTTTGTCTGATTGTCTGTGGACCGTTTTCCATCCTCTTGCTGGGCCTCTTGTTGTCCATGTCTGCACGCTCTGCTCTTCCTGCACGCTCCCTGCGGGGCAAGGAAGGCCAGGCTGAGGTCCGGGAAGGAGGGTGCTCTCTTAGGCCTGCAGCCCCATCCCAGGCCCTGTGGGATCAAGGAGATGGGACCAGAGTGGGGATAGACCTTGAACCTTCCAATGCCCCGAGCACAGGGCCCCTCAAAGGTCACCAGGTCAGGATTGGCCCTGGTGCCCAGACCCTCAGAATGGGCCCCGCCACTACAGCAACTGCTGCTGTCCACATCCTCATCTGTGTAGCCCTGGAAGGGGTCCTGCCCAGTCACAAAAGGTCCTGCCTGTGTTACTCTGTTGGCCTGTGTTGTGGCTGCAGCATCCATGTCCCCTCTCCCTCTGCAGGGCCCGGGCCCAGCCGCTTGTTCTTAGGGACTGGACCACTGGAGCAGGCTATCCTGAGCAGGCCCTGCGTGGAGCCTGGAGCCCCCTGGCGGTGGGGGCTGGCAGCACCTTGCCCTTTGTAGCCGCCCTCCCTCCCACCCTGGCTGGCTTTCCCCACCTAACTCCCTAGGCTGAGTTAGCTGTTTACTGACATGGTGCTGTGCGTGAGCCAGTGAGAGCAGGCTGGAGGCCGAAGGGCAGCTGGGGTGGGGCTGGGAGGTGGCAGGGGAAGCACCTGACTGTGCTATGGGGCAGGATAGGAGTGTGCCCATACACTGCCCAAGAGAAGACAGACCTGTGCTGGGGCCCTGAGACAGCCAGGCAGGGAGGGGCTGGGGGAGAAGCTGGACTCTGGAGGGTGGAGGGGCTCCCCAGGCCATCCTGCTGCAGTAGACCATGTGTGGGGCTGCTCCACGAGGCCTTGGCCATAGGGAAGCTTTGGGGGCAACAGGACAGGGGTCAGGCTGCCCATGCCCCCTCCTGCCCTTGGAGTCCTGCAGACTCGTGGCCCCAAGCAGTGGAGCCCTTCCCCAGCTGACTGTGGCCAGGCCCCCTGACTGCCTGGAGCCCAAGTAGCATCTCTGGGGCTGACCTTCTGTGGAGGATAGGGGACTGCTGTTCAGTGCCTGCTGTTTGTAACTTTAAAACAGAAGAGAAACACTGACAAAAAGCATTGAAAACAAAGCCAAAATAAGACTGTATTGGTATACATCTAAATTTTTGTACGAAAATTTAAAAATTAAAAACATCAGCAAAGGAACTTATCTGTGCAGCTTGATCCCTGTCACCAGCTGCTGGCTCCTCCCTGGTGTCGGAGTCTTGGTGTGTCTGGGTGGGGACTGGGTACAGATATCTCTCTGTTTTGCCCACTCATCCACTGGGGCTTGCTGCTGACCTCTACATCCAGAGGGAGGGGCTGGCTTTGGGAGCTTAGCTGGGCCCTGAGCCTAATAAGAGGAGTCCCTGCTAGGGGCTGGTCTGGACACAGGTGAGCTCAACCAGGACAGGTGATATGGGTCTGGGACCTGGGTCCTTGCTGGGGCATTGGGGAGCTTCTGAGGTGGCCAGAGTCTGGCTCCTTGGGAGAGTTGGGGCTGGAGCACCAGGGTGGGGCTGGGGCAGCTCTGGCTTCAGCAGACACACACCAGCACTGTGTCGTCACCTGCCAGTAGGGCAGTCTGAGGGGTGTCATGGCTACTCTGAGCCAGTCTCCTCTCCACAAGCAAGGCTGAGTAGGAACAGGGAAGGAGACATCACTCAGTGGCACTCAGGGCCCAGGGCACTGCTTTATGGCATGTCCACCCAGCTGCAGCATCAGCTCAGTCAGACGAGCGCAAATGCTGGCTGACTTCTCTGTTCTAGGTTCCTGGGCAGGCAGATGTCCCCATAGGGGTGGCAGGTGACCCTGGCCTGGCCACAGGAGGAATGGTGCTGAGCAGGGCTGGCGCCACACTGGCTGGGAGCTCCCAACCAGGCATGACACCCAAACCCAACCTGCCATGGGCCCAGGCCCGTGGTATCAGTGTCCTTCAGGAGAGCTCCAGTGTTTGGTGCCGGGGCTGAGGTGGCAGTAGAGAAGAATGGTACCGAGTTGATTTCTTGTATCTAAAATGTAGATCTTTAATTTCTGGTTTATATTTTTAAGATATGACATTAGCGTGGAAGATGATTACAGTTAGCAGATTTTAGTAAAGAGGTCATAAGTGAGTCTTAAAAAAGGATAGTCTAGAACGGCAGTGCAGAGGTCAGTGTGGCAGGCCCAGGCCCTGGCCTCAGTGTGCTCTGCATTTAGGACAGACCCCAGAGCCATGGGAGAAGGCTGGCGGAAGTATGCCAATCACGCTGTCTACAGCCAGGCGTGGTGAGGGATCCCAAGCAGGTGGGTAGTCAGGGCCTGGTAGGGCTGCCCGGGCCCATGTAGATGGCCTTCTCCAGGCCGTCCACCACCTCCATGTACTCCAGGTAGGAGGAGTAGTGCGTGCACTCGTAGTGGCTGCTCTCACGCACATGTACCAGAAAGTCTGGCGCACCTGGGCAGATCACGTTGTCAGCCAGCAGCACCGTCCCCTTCCGCAGCAGGCCACATTCCTGCAGGAGACAGACCAAAGGGTGGGGGTCAGGACAGGACAGGTCTCCCAAGGCCCCCTGTTCTCTCCTAGCATGGGTCCTGCAGGAGAGGGTGGTGTAAGGCTGGAGTCCCACCTCTAGAACATGGGCTTTCAAGGACAATGAGTCTTCCTCCCTCACTCCTCTGTGCAGCCCAACCCCTCAGACAGCATGTGGCACATAGTAGGTGCACAAGAAGTGCTAGCTGGGTGAAGGGGTAGGAGATGGTGGGGCCAGAGGCTAGTAGGTCTCAGACACCTGGTGCCAGGAACACAGGCACCTAAGAGGAAGAGGCACCAGGGCAGAGGCCACCGGCAGACCCACCTCCCTGCAACAGGCCTGACACCCAGATGGGCTCGGATGGGCCCAGGCTCCTGTGTTTGCAGAGCCCCATTCCCACTGGTGCCTGGGCCCTGAGAGGACATGGGGCTTCTCCTTCGGGCTCTATGCAAAAAGAAGGGGTTGTCACTGGATACATAGTCATAGGGATGACCGACAGGGCCCTTCAGCAGGAGCAACCTCATGGGATGCTTGTCTATCTAAGTGGGGGGTGGGGGATTGGGTGGGAGGATCTGCTTACAGCCCATGGAATAATAGAGAAACCTCCAGAGGAAGTGCTTGCCTATGGGGGAGTGACACCCTTGTCCGGGAGATCTGACTTACATATCAAAAACAAAAGTTAAAAAAAAAATCTCGAACACTGAGAACAAAATCAAACAACTAAGGCAGGAGGTATCTCAAGACACAGGCAGGAAGGGGGTCCCCAAGTGACTTAAAAACACTGGCATTTGCCTTTGTACCCCTCCAGGCAAGGATGTGCCTTTGAGAGAGCCCCACAGTCCTTGAAGCCCTCCCAGCAGGGGTGAGCAGTCATTCCAGCCTGTGGGCTCTCATGGGCTCTCAGGGGAGTATGGATGCCATACAGCTGTGAGGCCAGTGAGGCCAAGGGACAGCCCAAAGCTCCACAATTTGAATAGGAAGGACCATTGTGAATCATGATGCATTTTCTCTTAGAAAAAAGAAATGTCCTAGCAATGTTGGCCGAAAAAACTTAGGACAAAGACTGGCCCAGGAGGAGGGCACAGGCTGGCCTGAGGAGGGCAGCTCCCTCTGGGTCTGGGCCAGGAATTGCACAAAATGAACCAGGGCCCCGAGGCCTCCTGGGTTCTCAGGGTGGTGCTGGGAGACTCAGGAGCCTCCAGAAGCAGGCACCCAGAGGGAATCACAAAGGAGAGACAAGGGACTACAGTCACCTCTGGAGGTGAGGGGCCACTCTTTAAGAAGCTGGTTTCAGGGAAGGTAGTAGCACATGCCTGTCTGTGTCCACACACTGAGAGCCTCCTGATAGCCAAAAGACACCTGGAGAATCCCAGCATATGAGCCACCCAGGGCTCTGACCTGTGGAGGGGAGCAGGTGGCTCTCCTGAGGTAGTTTTAAGCTGTACCCTCCATTCTCTCTTCTTCCTTTCAAGAGGGGGAGCCTTGTCCCTCTCCCCTGGGGTATGGGCTGGATGCAATGGCTAGCAGAGAGAAGAAAGCAGAGTGACCTGCCTCAGAGATTGTCTTAAAGAGGTACTGGGGCTTCCCGTGCTGTCTATGTGTCTCTCACTTCCTCCTGTGGCTCTGTGGAGTGGCCTCCCCAAGGTATCAGCCACTCTGAGTTGCCATCTGCCCCTGAGTGCGTGCGCACGCACACACACACACACACACCCTTCTCCATGCTCAGGGAGCCCACCGAGGGGAGGGGACGGCTGGGCCCTGCAGAGCCAGGCTGGTCCTGACCCTATTAGCAGGGCTGCAGCGCCCCTGCTGGGTGTGCAGACGCATGTTTAAAAGCACAGCCGTTCCCAATTCATGATGCTGCTTCTTTTGAGATAATGACCAGTTTTGAACAACAGCACTGAAATGACTATTAGTTTCCTAGTTACTAAATGGCAGGCCTCTCATTACAACAGGCACCACAGCTGCCGAAACCCAACCCTGTGACACAGCCCAGTGTGGGGCTTGATCCTACCCAAGTGAGGCTGGCTGGCTGGGCACCTGCTCTCTGCCCCCAGTACCCAGTTGCCAGGGCCATCTTCCATAGTAGGGGGTGGGCCTCCCCCTGCCCAGGAGAGCCCCCCACAGCAGCCCTGTCCTGGCCCATGTCCTCCTGCCCCGTTGGCCAGCACAGTCCCCCCTCCCAACCCAGGGCTCAGTGCCTTCGACCTTCACAGTGCCTTCCTCACAGCCCCCCTCTGCACTCTCCGACTGCTGAAAATCTTTCTGGAAGACAGACCTAACCTCACCCTGCCTGCAAAGCCCTCCATGCCCTCAACTTCCCCATTCCCACAATGTTCCATGCCCTTTACACCACCAGCCTCTGCCAGTGCTGGCTCCTTCCCATCCACCTCCAGGGCTTAAGGACTATGCCCCAGCGTTCACAGTTCTGCTGCCAACAACAGCCTGCAGCTCCTAGGAGCACTGCAGCAGGCGAGCACTGGGCGGATAGCCCCAGGCCAGGCGCAGAGGCCATGGGGTGGTGTCCCAAGCCCATGGGGGGGGGCGGGGAGCCTCTCAGTGCCCCTTTGCTGACCACCAGGGAGGGTAAGCCCGTGCATCATCACATGAAGCTTCTTAGGTGTCAGAACCAATGCCCCCGCCTCAGGCACCAGGGAATGAGGGTGACCCATCCATGCCTGGCCTCACTCCAGAGGTACTCAGGGTCCTCAACAGGTGGGCTTGAGGGACTGGCCCTTCACGAGGGGCCTCAGGAGAAGGATCTTCAGGAGGCACCCACTGTTCCTGTGCCAGCAGCAGCATGCTTGGTGGGAGGGCAGCACGGCCCCCTGAGCAGCTCCCCATCTTTTCAGCCCTATGCTCCTTCTGCCCAGGCATTCTGGTCCAGGGTGCTCAACCTTCTCCCACTGCCCACCACCTGGCAGCACTCTGCACCAGTTCAGGCAGGCTGGCACCCTTGTGTCCAGAGCCAGGCCCCTATGCTCCCCACCAATCTCCCCTGCCAAAGGGCCTCCTACCCCTGCGCTCCCTGGCCTCAGACACCTCCTCTGTGTTCAAGGTAGCCCCCAGAGCCATCCTTGGCAGGGCTGGGCCAAGGCTCCTAGCTCTCTGGAGAGGCTGAGGCTCACCAATTGGGGCCCAGGGCAGCACCAGCAAGGCTGTCCTGGCAAGACGGGTTTGCTCACCTCCAGGAGGATCGTGTCTGGCAGGTACCGGTCCTTCCAGTGGTCAAGGAAGACCATATCCAGCGTGTCCACATCATACTTCTTCTTCAGCTGAGGGATGATGTCCTGGGATGCCCCAACCACCACAGTGACCTGGAACAGCACTCTGTTGGTGCCCATGCCCACAGGGAGGGACAAGAGGCCCCCTTGGACACACACAAGCATTCACCCAACAGTTTTTTGTGGGGCGATGAGGTCCTCCTTTGCCCATTCCTCCCAGGGCTGCCTTGGGGATTTCCTGCTCTGTAGAGCAAGGCTGTGAGACCACCCTCACTGTGCCGCTGTGGGTCCTTCCTTGGCTCTGGGCCCAGGAAGCCCACACAGGCCTAGCAACAGCCCAGTGAATGTGGCCTTGAATCAACCAAGTGGCAGGTGTGAATCAAGGCTGCCCCATCCACCGCCCTGGACGCTCTGAGCCCTGGTGTCCTCACTGGTCACCGAGGGGCAGGCATGCCGCACCCTGTCCTGAAGGCCTGCGAAGTCTACCATCCTCTGGGTTATGGCTGCGTAGTCAGGGTTGAGCTCAATGGTGAGCAGCCTGGCATCAGGTAGCAGTAGGCGGGCCATGCGCACAGCCGAGTAGCCACAGTAGGCCCCCAACTCCAGCAGCACGGAGGGCTGGTACTCCCGCACCACAGTGTCCACGATCTGGCCTGTGGTAGGGGTCGTGGGGAAAGCTGTGAGTACAGAGGAAGGATAGGAACCCAGCCCAGCAACAGCCCCTCCTGCACACCTGGCCTCTGGTCTTCTGATCACCTCCCTACCCACTGCCAGGGGTCTTTTTTTGTTTTTTGAGTTGGGGTCCACTTTGTCGCCCAGGCTGGAGTGCAGTGGCACAATCACGGCTCACCATGGCCTCTACCTCCTAGGGGCAGGTGATCATTCTGCCTCAGCCTCCCAAGCAGTCAGAACTATAGGTGTGCACCATCATGCCTGGCTGATTTTTATTTTTTCCTACAGGTGAGGTCTTACTATGTTGCCCAGGCTAGTCTGGAACTCCCAGGCTCAAGCAATCCTCCTGCCTCAGTCTGCCAAAGTGCTGAGATTACAAGTGTGAGCCACTATGTCCAGCCTGCTGGGGGAGGGTCTTTACCTCCCCCCGAAGTGCTTGGCCCAAGGACCTGCTCCCCACTGTGCATATACCCTTGGAATTCCCATGGTCCCTTGGCCTCCATGCTTTTGCACCCTCCCTGGCTGACCCCAACCATCCTAACCCAGAGTTGTCCCCTTACGAGGCTGTCACGCAGCACAGCACATGCTTATGCCCTGGGCTGCAGTCCAAGGCTGAGAGGGCCGAGGAAAACAAGCCTGACTGGTCTCTAGGCAGGTCCATGGTGGCCAGGGCAGAGTCGAAGGAGCTGTACCATCACTCCAAAATGTCAGGACTGCCGTCCCTGGGCAGGAGGCAGCAGGGTCATGAGTAACCAGGGACCCAAGCAAGGGAGGTGCATAGTTCAACTTCCCACTCCCCACCAGGACTCAGAACAACAGCCTTTGAAGACTGGCAGAGTCCTGCCATGGGTGTCCAGGTCCCTGCAGGACCTTTGCCTGGGGTGGTGAAGCCAGAGGCTGAGCCCGAGGCTCGGGCCCTGCTCCTACAGGAGCCTGTCCCAAGCCTCCCAGCCTCTCCGATAGGGCTGTGCTGCCAGCCTGGGTCCGTGGCCCAGGGCCCAGCACTTGCCAGCTAGGACTCACCTTTCTTGTCACCCACATTCATGGCCCACTCCTTCTGTGAGCAGTAGGTGTCGATGGCCTCCAGCACGCTCTGCGGGTTCCCACGCTCCGCGTGCTCCAACACATGGTTCAGGATGCGCTGCTCCTTAGTGTCACCCATGAGCAGGTTGCGGGCAGGCTGCAGGACTAACTCATACCAGTAGACCACACACAGGCCCCAGCCCCAGCGCCTCAGGAGCAGCAGCAGTGCCAGCAGCAGACCCAGCAAGGCGGCCGCCAGCAGCAGGGGCGGGTACTCCACCATCTGTGGGGCAGGGAGGGGCATCAGTGCCCTGCCCCTTCCTGGCATGTCCACATGCCCCCTCAGCAGTGTGGGGGTGCTGCCACCGGAGGGCCAAAGTTCAGAGGAGCAAACCACATGCTTCAGTTGCTTAACTTATGTCAGTGCCAAGGAGATATCTTCCCGTGCCCCCACTCCCTGTGCCCTCATGTGCCCCTGCCTGGGCACACTCTCCAGCTCAGGTGCTTTCCCAGACAGCCTGAGTGAGGGACAGTTTCAGCCCAGGACCCTTTAAAACTACAGAGAATACAGAGGCAGAAATGGATCAAGGCTGTCTCCTCCCAGCAGGCTTAGAAGACACTCAGGGTGGGCGGGGGCGTGTGGTGGAAAAGACTCATAGTGTGGCCTCCTCAGCCCCACACAGGAGACCCACATACTCTAGACAACCCGAGAGATTCCTGTGGCCCTTTTATTGAGTTTCCAGGTAAGGACACAGGCAGTTCCCAGGCCGTGCACACTAGGTCAAACCCACTCACCATGCCCTCAGGGACGGAGAGCAAGAAAGCTCCTCACCCCCATCATGGGGCACTTTGAAATCATGGCAAGCGACCCCACTTGAAACCCCATTTGAAATTCTGCTGGCAAGTGACCCCCTGGGCAGGTGACCCAGGACCCAGATGGGTGCTCAGGGAATCCCTGGCTGGCACAGAGCAGAATTCACAAAGTTCAGAGAAGAAGCCCATAATTTCCAGTCAGAGATTCTAAAATGGAGGATACAAGAAAGAAGGACTTGGGAAGCTTCTGCCAGGGACCTATGGTCACTCAGGGATCTTTCTGGGGTGGGACCTTGGAACCCTGGTGGCATACAAGATCCTACTCTGCAATAGAAGCTCCCTTTAGAAAGTCTCATCTGGGTTAGGAGGCAGGCCCAGGGCTGCAGTGGCAGAGGGGACACTCCTGGGGGACAGCCTCAGGTTTCAAGGAACAAATGAGAAAGCCGCAGCTCTGCCTAGGGGTGCCATACGGACATCCAGACTTCTAGCAGGCTTCTCTGACCACGGGGGCTGTGTACACAGGCAGAGTGGACACATGGCCAGCAGACCTGTGCATATGTACTCCCTCACTCTGCCCATGGGTTGCCATCAGGCAGCTGACCTTCAGAGCTGCTTCTGGGTCAGCACCAGCCTCCAGCTGCAGGAAGGATCTAGCCCTCCTGAGCTCAGCAGCAAAGCAGATACAATTTGTGCAGAGTGCAAGTCTGGCTTTGGATAATCATCTGGAAACAACGAAGGTCCAGATGTCTGAACCCCTTCGCCAGACTCACCTGGGCTTTCCCTGGCAGGGTGAAGGTAGTGGCTCACCTTTCCAGCTCTAGAGAGTCACCTGGAGTGTCTCCCAGCCAGGTATCCTGGGATGGTTTCCTGCCCTTGTCACACTGCCCCTTGGGGTGTGGTGGTGTATGCTCTCATGCCCTGTGAAACTCAGGTATGGGGGCCCCTTTGCCCAAGCTGTGCTCCTCCTAGCATCTGTATGCCTGGGAGTGATGCAGAAGACCAGGGGTAGTTTACAAGGAACATGTAGAAACCAGTGAGAAAAAGGCAAATTTGAGAGAAAAAATGGGCTGAGGTGGCCAGTATAAGCCATAGGAAAAGGCCAAAAGGTCAGAGCCCCAAGGAGGTGACAAAACCAGGTGGAGGCATGGGTGCCCCTGCAGGAGTATGGATTGTGCCACCTTCTGGCATCTCAGGGGCCACCTGCCGTCAAGAGTTCCAGGGCCACCTGGGAGGATCCCAGGCCTGTAGACCACCACATCTCCTGGAGCACGTTGTGCCATGACTCTCAAGGCCCCTGAGAAGAAATGCAGGGAAAGGTGTGGAGGACAGAGTGTCCTTCAGTGAGGAAGAGGACAGGAGACAACAGAGAAGGACCAAACAGGTCTGAGTGGCCAGAACTTTCCATCTTGCTCCTTTCTTCAGGGTTGGGATTTCCTAATGACATCTTGTCTTGCTTTATTATTAATCTATTATCCATTATTGCTCATGTGTTATGACCAGTAGTACAAGTATTGGAGTAGTGACATATGCAGGAACTAAATGGTCACAAAGAAGGAAATAATAGGCCAGGTGCAATGGCTCACCCCTATAATCCCAGCACTTTGGGAGGCCAAGGTGAGAGGATTGCCTGAGCCCATGGGTTCGAGACCAGCCTGGGCAACTTGGTGAGACCTCATCTCTACAATAAAATAGAAAAAATTAGCCAGGTGTGGTGGCTCACACCTGTAGTCCCAGCTACTTGGAAGGCTAAGATGGAAGGATTACCTGAGCCCAGGCTGCAGTGGCTGTGAACGTGCCACTGCACTCCAGCTTGGGCAATAGAATGAGACTCCAATTCAAAAAAAAAAAAGAAAAGATATAACAGACACTGGGGACACCAATAAGAGGGGAAGTGAGGGGGGCCTCAGAAATTACCTGTGGGCTACAGTGTTCACTATCCGGGGAATGGGCCACCTGAGACCCAGTCCCCACCACTATACAATATGTCCATGTAATGAACATGCCTGTGTACCCCTGAATCGAAAATAAAAATTGGGGGAAAAAAATACGGAGTGGTGAGATCATGGACCATTTTGTTTATTTTCTGTATTAAAAAAAAAAAATCTAGGACCAGGCGCGGTGGCTCAGCCTGTAATCCCACCACTTTGGGAGGCTGAGGCAAGAGGACTGTTGAGTCTGGGGGTTCGAGGCCAGCCTAGACAACTTGGTGAGATCTCGCCTCTACAATAAATCACAAAAACTAGCCAGGCATGGTGGCGTGTATCTGTAGTTCCAGCTACTTGGAAGGCTGAGGGGGAAGGATTGCCTGAGCCCAGTAGGTCAAGGCTGCAGTGGCCGTGAGCGTGCCACTACAATCCAGCCTAGGCAACAAAGAATGAGACTCCAACTGAAAAAAAAAAAAAAACCCAAAAACACAACTAGTAAGTGTTACAAATAAGGACCAAAAAAAGGGACATTTTGCTTAAGTACCAGAATACTTGGTAGACCCTGGAGTCCTGCACTATAAGTATGAATCCCTGTAATACTTGAATTGTGTAAGAATTTGACTTTTAAATCCCCACTATCTCAGTCTGTTTATAAATCTGCTGGTGTGTGTACAGCAGGGCCCAGTAGGAGGGGGCAGTTTAGGGGGCCACATCTGCAGGGCGTGGGACTGCTGAAGCCCCTTTCTTCTTGTTGAGAGCACCAAACTGGGTGTGTCCACACAGACACAGTGGTCCACCAGTGCTGACCTGTCCAACTCACCTACCACCCACTTCCAACTGTGCCCTATCCCAGGTCCACCTGGGCAAGAGGCATGGGGTCCAGAGAGGTCCTCAGTGCCAAAGGGCTGACCCCAACACCTGCTCACCCTATGCAGTGTCTGGGGAAGGGCCTTCAGTGCCCATTCCAGTCTCATGTGTTCCTCTAGCGATCTCAAAGGAATCCTGGGATGTTCCTGTGAGCATGAGAGCCTGAGACCCAAAGTGGGGGTGGGGCTGGCTGCCCAGGCCACCAGGTGAGTGCTGGCCACTGCCCACATGGCCTCTGGATGACCGCTTCCCAGCTAGTACACCCCTGACCCTGGCCCCCACCCAGTGAGGCCTCCCTGATGGCAGGGCACCAAGACTGTTCCAGACTACCCTCCTCTGCTTTGCCCAGCTGGGGTTGGGGGGAGACTGCATCTACATGGCCATGGTAGGGACATGGGACTTCACCATCCAAAAGCAGAGCCTGCCCAGTCACTGGTCACTACCCAGAGCTTTGCAGAACAAAAGAATAAGCAAGTGAGCGAATGAAGGGTGGAGGTCCTGGAAAACCGAGAATCATGCCACTAAGGAAAGCCACATAGAAACCCACAAAGGACATGGGGTCAGAGGGGCTCTGGCATCCCCATGCTAGGATTTCACTTCCAGGCCTCTATGGAAAATAAAACCGAGGTGTCTTGGGACATGAGGGGTCCTGGGACACAGTAACTCTGTGTTGATGTGGGACCTATGATCCAACTGCCCAGCTTTGGTTCCAGGGTTCTGGGTGAGGGTAAAGTGCCTTCTTACCTAACAGATGCAAAAGAAAATGGCTTCAACCCCTCAGGAGGGGGCGCTGGCCAGAAGACCAAGGGGGATCTTCTACTTTTGCATCTGTTTGAAACATGCTGTGGTTTTACATGGTTTGCCAAATGTACTTTTCACAGTTAGTGAAGGAGGAAAGCCTGTGTGCCCCACCTTATGTGTCTGGTCCCACCACAGCTCTCAGCTGTTCTCAGTGGCACTACTGGGAAAGGCTGCTCAGGAGCACTAGGCATGGCCCTGGAGGCTCGGCCATCACAGCGGCCTCCACAGTTACACCTTTAGTTCACTACAAGACTGCGCGCAAAGTAAAGGGAGGCACAAGTAAATGGAAGGACATCCCATGTTCATGAACTGGAGGATGTCAACACTACCCAGAGTAATCTACAGATCTGATGCGATCCTTATCAAAAATCCCAAGGGGGCCAGGGGCAGTGTCTCACGCCTGTAATCCCAGCACTTTGGAAGGCTCAGGTGGGGGAATCACTTGAGGCCAGGAATTCAAGATCCCCCTCTACAAAAAATAAAAAAATTATCTGGACATGGTGGTGTACACTGGTGGTCCCAGCTTCTTGAGGGGCTGAGGTGGGAAATTATTTGAGCCCAGAAGTTTGAGGCTGCAGTTAAAGTTATGATCAGGTCACTACACCCCAGCCTGGGTGAGAAAGAGTGAGACCCTGTCTCAAGGAAAAAAAAAAGAAAGAAAAAAAATCCAAGGGCATTTTTTTCAGAAATAGAAAAACCTATCTTAAATCTCAAGAGACCCAGAATAGCCAAAATAATCTTAAAGAAGAACAAAGTTAGAAGACTCACACTTCCTGATTTCAAAACTCACTACAAAACTACAGTTATCAAAACAGTGTGGTCATGGTCTAAAGACAGACACACAGACCAATGGAATAGAATCAAGTCCAGAAATAAA